AGACTGTGTATTACACGTTTTAATTCCGTGTGAACAAAGGGGCTAATCGGAGATGCAATGACGGTAGTCTGTTAGGAGAAAGCAAACCTTTTTGCACACCTGACAAGCCATACATTTTCCGATCACCATATGAAATACTACTGCTTTCTTTAACAAGAGAATACTTATCATTTGATCCTTCTTGAATGTTCAGTAGATCGGATGAATTGAGGATTATTCATCAATGAGGGGTGCGAAGGACGGTCCACTCAGAATCAAAAGGTCAGTTCAAAATTTTGCCGCACTTTCTACTTGTTACAAATCAACCTTATTCTATAACAACATTTTGCGTTCGAGGGCTGTTTTACGAAGTGTTATTACAGAAAGAGTGCACCACTGTGTTCTGGGTCGACGGACAGACTTCGTGCGATGTATAAAGAGGATGATCATCTGATAACATTGGAGATCCCCCTGTGTGATTTCTTAAGAATGGAAGTACTAGAATCGACCTCGACTATCGCTTATCTTTGAATTTGCATTTGTTTATAATCATATAAGTCGCTCTATGACCATACTCTTTATTGTGGCTGACTGGAGAAAGGTGCAACTTATGTCACGTGTGCAAATTTAAACACGTTCTAACGTGCGCGTATGCAATCCGTGCGAAAAGCCGTTTTCGTGTTGCAAATCTAACGCAAAATTCATCCCGACCGTAAGGAACGCGTGAACAAATACATGTGCAAATAACATCACTACGTTCCTGATGAGAATGCTATTCCTTGAGCTAATGTGAAGCGTCCTTTTCATCTAAATACCAATCAACCAGGTGTAATAAATGTTCGATCAGTCACCGACTTGCTGTGTAGGCGCAAAAGAAAAAACAATTTCACAGAACTCGACGAAGATAAGTTAGCGAACGCTCTTAAAACCGTAATCTGTATGCTCCTGTTGAAAACGTGATGCATGAAGCAACAGCACATATGGTGCTTTTACTATAGAGATATTCAAAATTGAACAATGGGCCTCTTGATTTGTTGAAACATCTGGTTCAGTGGTTAGTAGTCGATAAAATTTCGCCTGAATTTTAACAGCTCTCGTTGAATACAGCCTTATAATTACAAATGGTAAAATGGGAAACGATTTCGTCCCGAAGGACTTTTAACCAGTAATCTATAATAAACTGCCAGATTCAGCCACTTCGTCTGTTCAATATGCTAATAAATTACACAGACGGCAGATAAACTATCGACATATTGTACCCTCAAAAACTGCGTTTTCACATCGGATCAGTGGGAACTGATTCAAGTGTATCATAAAAGTATGCTATCAGGTTAAGTGGATTGGAAGGACTGGTTGTGCTCCATTACAGGCCAGTTTATGAGCATCTTGTTTGAATTCCACACGTCAGATTTTACTCAGAGGATCAACAAATGTCGATATGTGCAAACCGGTCTGTACAATTCATCATTGTCTTTTAAGTGGTGTCTTATTGCAAATACGCTACTCATGTGACGACTACATAAGGGTAGTGTTATTTTGAGTTCATTATGCATGATCCTAAAGCGTGCACCCTCGACATTTTTAAGGCTCCCAGTGTCAAGTCTCACTCATCTCGGATGATCGATAAATCGAACCGGTGAATGAATAGATATTCAGGAATTATCCATCGCATTCTGTATCAGGTGAATCGAAATACCTTTCGGTCGATTCCAAGACATGGAATCACTTACATAAACTGTAATTAACTATTTATTTTAGAGATATGCAAGTAGAATGTCAACTTTATTTGACTGATGCCTTATTATGTCAGTTTCAAGGTAAGTATATGACAACGAAAAATTTGCTCAAAGTGACACTGAATGAATAAAGAACTTAAGGTGTTAAATTGAATTTCGTACTAAGTTATGAGGCCGTGCATTTTACGGGGAATGTAAGTTGTTTTGGCAATAAAAGGATCTAATGCTCGGACAAAGTCAATGACAATTTAGTTCTGCCGTGTTGAATGACCCGTCACTTTTTAGGTAACCTAAGCCATCACTATTACGATTAACACGAAGTTGAAATAAACATACACAACCATGTTGGCAACTGGATANTTGACGTGCCCGGTCATTTATCCAGCCCGATGTATGGCAAGTGTCCTGAAGGGTAACGGAACATACCAAGTGGTGCCCCCCCCCGCCAAAAAACGTGAGCACACACATAGTAACTAATCTCATCGCTGACAAGCTATCCTTGCGTGATTTGGATTTCCCAGTGGAGATTTTCGTTAATCGCACAATAATGTGCTTTACTCGGACTGTTTTGAATGGATCTCTGAGGATCACGTACAGAGAATGCAGTTTGCTCAATTATTATCAGTTGTGAAGAGTTTAAAACAGTTAACCACGTATTTATGCTTTTTTTGATTAATCATATAATCAAGACCGGTGACGAAAAGGTATGCAACAGAAGAGCTATAGGGACCGTTTTGATTATTTCTATTTCAATGAGCAGTTCTGGTAAACATATTACAGATTGTAAGGCCCAAAGTAAGGCAGGTTTGATACGTCAAAATCCGCCATAAAGGTTTGAAAGAACACCAAAACCGCGAGCCACAAAAATCTCTCGTTCGTAGCCCTGTTCCGATTAGTGATGCTTCAGTTCGTTCTTTTTGGTGCATATACAAAAACAATTTGCTGTTTGGTTCCAGTAAGTTTCATCATGAACGCCACACATATACACATATTTGAGGTGACAATTCCTGTTTGACCAAACCACCTTACTAGATCGATCAAAGTGTGACGTAAAATCACCGAGCGACTTGAGAAGACAAACTGTTCAAATTATCTGTCGTTTCCAGACGGACCTCTGACTTTCTGCATATCGTCAAAAGCAGACTAACTAAGTGCATGAAACAGATGTGCTTGATTTGCCGGCATCGTTCGCATTTCGTTCACGGTTCGCGCCCCTAAAACAGGAGGGGGCTACTTGCATTGTTTCCAAGAGCAACCATTGTGTCACGGAATATGCCGTGCGAAATTGTTGTCAGCATGTCTAAACTCGAAATGCACTGGTGAGAACCTAACCAGTTCAAAAAGATATATCTACTGTCAAATGGAAAATTGAATAAAAATAAACGGCAATGGTGCAAGGTATATCCCAATGGGAAGACTCGTATAAGGAACAAAAACCATAGAATAAGACTGTCCGACATACCGAAACTGTGATGTGAATTTATTTTTTGGTGTGTGGAAAAAATCAATAGTTTATTAGTTGAATGACACACATAATCAGATAAAAAAGTAATCACCCTCAGCAACTGAAAAGGATAACAGGAACGATACTTACGCACAAAATTACGCACTTCATCTACAGGCAATGGGGCTGGTTCTGGAGTTGAATTTGGTTCATCCAATTCCACTTGGGCAGACTAAATTCGTTGTTAGTGTAAAATTCAACAATGACTCACATGGCATCTCTGAATAATCACCTGACGCTGAACCGGAGGTGGAGAATTCTCTGTTTGACACATTGAATCCGCTTTAGCGCGAATTTGAGCGGACTGACACAATCATAAAAAGCAAAATGTCACATAATATAAGGACCTCATGAACGTACCGTTGAAGAGGTTCGTGTGACCGGAAAATTCTGACTGAACGACGTTGTACTTGATATCATACTGGCTGCTCCTTCCGCCCCACCGTTCCGTGGACCGGCAGAGCAATCCACAGTATTACGAACTGGCGAAACAAACACTTGTTGTGTTGGACACATCAAGCGAATTACTCGCCCCGAACGTCTTGCTTCCGAATTACGAGTCGGTTCGGACATGTTTTGATCGGACGAATGGAATAGATCCTTGGGTACACACACAAACAAATAATAATGCAAAAACGAGCCCGAAACGACCAACACCGCCGACTAGTTGAGTCGTAATAGAAGTGCCGCGTTCACTTGTGATAAAAACCGACTTATTTCGTGGCCTTGTTGATTGACCTGTCTAAACACAAGCTCACACACACATAAACACAAGCACACACGCTTACACACACGTAAATGTGCCTGGGTATGGTTATTGGTCCGGATCGATGATGATCTCGAGTGTACCTGAACAACGCTATTGGTTCACTCACGCACCACCCTGAGGGTGCGTCACGGCGACTGTTCCTGTGGTGCTTTGTGCAGTGCAAGGTAGACACAACATCCAAGATCCGAGTGGAACGTGAGCGATGTCAATCACCGAGGGTAGAGAACGGAACGTGCGTGAACTAAGTCGGGAAACGTCCCGTCTTGTGGAAGAGAAATCCAGTGCCTTTTCCGGAATGTGGAGATTTACTCACCGTCTTGGTCGACAACAATTGTTCCCGTTTTCGGCATTCCGTAGTCGCAAAGTGAGAATCAGCGTTTCTCTTTTGAAATGTCCAAACAAGACACAGCAACGAGTGATTCGACGAAAATGATATGAAATTGAAATTGAGAGAATGGCGGGACTATTCAAGGCGTTTTCCATTTACTTTTCAGTAATGTCGAACTGTAGAGGATTTGACATAGTAGGGTTATTCATAAATTGATTTGCATATAAGCAGAGCTTTATACGTTTTTGACCATGTAAAATCCAAGCGCATAAAACGTACAGCAGGTGGACTGAAATTAAGGATGAGGCGAACTTGCAAGAAGCAATAGGAAACAAATGATTATCTTATCACATTTTAAAGGATCGTAAGATTTTATATAGAATGAGGGAATCGCTCAATTAGCCTATGTATTCCCGGAAGTAAATCTGATTTCAAAAAGAGACTGAGAAAAGTGGTATTCGCTTCCGTTTCGAAATAAATTTATTAGATCAATAAATACCTCTTGCATTATTTGGTAAACTGCTGTTTAACCTGAGGAGCCTCCGATTGACTTCAGCATTCTGGCTGGTAACTAACTAAATAAAACAATTTCAACTTGTGCGTTTGAAGGTTATAATCAATAATTGTTGATATAAATAGTCAATGAAAGAACAGTTTTACCCTAACGAAGCAACATTCCCCCCCCCTCCCTATGGGTGACGGCCTCTGTTAATGTCCCTAAAATTACTTCATTGGATGTTCAAGAGAAAGAAAAACAAGGAAATGCCATTTTTGATCTTTTTTCCCAATATATAGAATGCAAAAGGAAAGCAACTGAAGTATATCAATCAAACCTAAATCTCCATTGGTCTGGAAGCTTGCAAAGTTCTCCAGAAATTTGGGTTCACTGCAATTGAGCAAAAGTAAATCTGGTGGAAAATAAATTAGAGAGTATTCTGAAACTGATGATCCTCACTCACACAATTCAATACAGTTGCTTTAGTCTACGTGCAAGACAGTTAAGCAAACTCAGCACCTAGCCGTGTCTGTTGAATCCATTTCCACCAAGGTTATTGGTATAAACAGGGATAACCGAATATGAGATCACGGCTTGCATATTTGTTTATTTTAATGGAGGAACTACTTATGTGTATAAATTATTTTGTGAATGATTACCTGCCATTCAGTGTTATCGACCACATACCCCACCAATGAATGGCCTAAATTGTGGATTTAAACATTTCCTCTGTCATAGCGATTCCTGTACAATAGCAGATCACCTTCGAACAAATGAATCATCCCTGATGAAGAAGGCATTCTGTCACGAAGTGTGTTCTTATATATACAGAATAATGTAGTCATTTGAGGAGTTCGATAGAACCAAGTCACGGAAAATATTTTGTTTTATTCCTGTAAAAAATAGGAGTCTGCATTTTGCTTCATTAATACCTCTGCAATTATCTCTAGAACTTACTTTCCGTTTGTTCAACTCGGGCATTCAGTCTTAAGTGTTACATTGTTTCTTCGAAATCAAGACTGGTTCAAAGATCCCAAACCACAACATCTTACGGTTGTACGTGGTGTATGATTAGTATACAATCTATGTTCCAGTTGATGAACTTCATTATGGACACATTTTTCATCTGACCGTTATACTGCTTTGTCTACCCGTCTCATCTTGTGGACATCGTGACGTGTCCATGTTGGCTAGAACAGCGTTCTATCATCCCTATTATTCCACCATCTGGCTACTTATCACTATCATTTAGATTCCTTGTCTAAGGTACTGAAGTCATCAATGAGATGAAATGTTTTACTGATAACCATTTGATCGTTCTTGTTTTTTTATTGTGATACAATAAAAGCTTTTCTAATTTCCCAGTATCAAAGAAAACACTTAGACGAGTGTAATGCCGAGAAATTCACCGTGGCATGCATTAAGATATGCATGAAACGGTCGGATAGCATGGACTATGTACCAGTACACACCGATGGGGAAGAACCTCAGTTAATTGTTAATCCGACTGGCCCACTTATAGGGTCAACCAAACCTCCGGGTAGAAACATTTTACTTCTTCGAATCAATGGTATGGCGGAATCGTTCATGCTGACTGAATTGCTGCTTTCACAATTGAGACCGACCCAGAACAGTTTATTAGAATGAAATACCAAGAAGTGTTGCATACACAGAATGATGAAGTCACTGGAGTTGGTCTGAAGATAAACGGTATTGTGCTTCTCACATAGTGTGCTTTGATGTATAATTGAACATCGACTCTAGTCATTTGTCAACATCCGTGCTTTCTTTAATGTCAAATAATTTTGAAACCTGTGATGATCATCACCTGACGGCCTTGAAATATTTTAGGTCACTCAGATTTTTACCGAACCCATTACTAGACTTCTCTCATTATTATTATTATTAGTATTATTATTATTATTATTATCAGATTTCGCAGCGTCATCATCATCATTGACGTTAACTCTCAGATACTGCGCTGTTGTTTTGAGCAACAGTAGTAGGATTCGCTAACGCAGGCACCCACATTCACGTCACGTGTTTGATTTTGCTCGAATTACAAACCAGGTGTGGAGGGAGCGGGGGGGGGGGCGGAGAAGAACAGGGTAACCAGAAAGAAATTGTTATGTTGGGATGTTTGCTGATCAACAAACTGTCTTGTGAAAAAAGTGGAGAGACTGTGCAAGTAGGCTACGTGATTTGAAATAAATGATAAATTAACATTGAGTAAAAATGAATCGAGTGGGATTAATCAATTACACACTGAATTTTAGTTTGGTTGATCAGGGGCCATCTTTATTGATCAAGTTTCGAGGACTAATACTGAAAATCCTAACTCAGAAAGTATGCAGAAATGTGTTCCACTCATTTAATCACTTGCCGGGGTATTTTCAACTCTCTATTTCCAAGACTTCGGTCACGTATCCATGGAGATAGTTCACTTCAAGGATGGTGATACTTTTGTGGTTCTGTTTTTATGAATTAGCCACCTTACTAAGAGCATAAATATAACATTACTAGGATTGATTTGCAGGATTGTTTATGACTAAATGAACTTTGTCCTCAAAAAAACGAATATTCAATGTACCTGATTTAATATGGTCGATAAATAATATTGTCCATTTCCAGCTATATGTGAAGATTGATTCTTTTTAAGGAATATATAAATTCATCCCCACTAGATGCAGTTCTTAAATGGTCCACTGGCTGTTCTCTTTATAGGTGCCCTCGGGACGACACAAAATGAAATTCATGATGCAGCCCTTGGTTAATCAGAAAGTGTTCACACGGAATCACTGAAAAATCCTTAGCGGTATAACTCTCTGATGTACAGCAAGCATGATTAGTTGGTTCCACTCATTTCTCTAATTCTCCTGAATTTAAATGATTACAAAGAGAAAAATAGTGAAACTGCAAACTGACAGTCCATTTTGTTTTTGGTGTACCATCAGAAACAAACAGTAAACTACATTCTGTAGGTTGCAACCAGGATTTCTTATGTTCAGATAACCGCGTACAAAAGGTAAAGTTGATTGCATTCCTTTAGAAGCCTCAAAAATGAAGTTTATACGGAAAATTATCATCGACAAAACTTGAGATACTCCCATAAAATTTTGCGAAAACCATTATATCTCATCATTTAGATACCTCAAACAGATGACGTCTAACTATAGCCTACACCTGTTTCATTTTTTGACCATTTTACGAAGGATGCATATGGAAACAAATGTCTGCGATTATATCATTGCTTGGTCGTTGGGCGGAAGCAAAACTCAAAACCTCAATGAATAAACACTGTGAGGTAATTAAAGTCAGCTTCAACGGGCGACAGCTCTTGGGTTAGCAGAATCATAGTTCTTAGGTTTATATGTTGGGGGTGAGTGGGTGGGAATCCGAGGGACCGGGCTCTGACTGCGCTCAGTACATGCAGAAGACCTCGGTGAATGATAATTAAGAAAGCTCAATGGTCATCAATG